CCCCCCCCCCCCCCCAGCACCTGCCTTCCAGATTTGAACACCTCAAAATTCAGGAGTGCTCAAGCTCAGTTTGGGCAGTTGTTACTTCATTTCTCCCAAATCAAATATACTGATCCACTGTAACTTGCTGTAGAAAAAGTAGGATAAAATTGAGCAAGAAATGCTTCCCAGGGGTTATTAGGACTGGAATTGCTATTTTCAACAGTTGTTTGTTTGTTTTGTTTGTAAGACAGTGATATTGCATTGGCAAATTCTCCATAGAAAGAAAGAGTGGAATAAAAGAATAATAAAGGCACCTCAACTTTTCCTCATTTATGTAGGACAGTCTTATAATATGCATCCAGATATCCTCCAATCACACAAGCTGAAAATTGTTCCACTTTACTGCAGTTCTGTAACCATGCGGTAACCAATCCTGTCTGTGTTCTGTGCACATCTAAAATTCCTGCTGAATGACTTGCCGTGGGAGTGAGTTACCAGTGACCCAGGGCTGTGGCGGAAGGAGGGTGCAGGTGGGGGTGGGAGAGAGCCCAGGGCTGGGGCAGCAGGAGGTGTGTGTGGGGGCAATGGTGGGGGGGGAATGAGGGAGCGCAGAGCTGGGGCGGCAGGGTGTGTGGGGGGGGGGGAGAGCCCAGGGCTGGGGCAGCAGGGGTGTGCGGCGAGGAGCCCAGGGCTGGGACGGGGGGCAGGCAAAATTTTTTTTGCTTGGGGCGGCAAAAAACCTAGAACCAGCCCTGCTCCCTATTCAGTCTGCCCTTTCCCTTGCATTTCACTTCGCCCCTGTTAGCACACATCTTCCCAGCAAGTGGCAATCCGTTAGGTAACTGGTAATTTTTTTCTCATTCTCAGTGAGCTTTCTCTGCAGTTCAGTCATTCTCTTTGCAGGATGCCTTTCATCTTCCCATTCATTCTTGTCCTTTAGATGCTTGGAAACCAGGATCACATAAAAGCTGAGATTGAAAAGATGAAGCAAACGTACGACTCTCAGCAACAGAAGCTGGAACAGAGAGTGTGAGTGTTTTGAGGCCATCCCACCCCCTAGTACAGTTGTCTGCCTGGCCCCTCGCACTGGACTATCTCAGCCTCACCAACATGAACAAATTGAATAGCATCCCCATTTTACAGCTAGAGATAAAGGCTAGGAGTCTCAAGGGGCCCTGTGGCTTTTAGGTGCCTGTCCCCTATTGAAGTGGGATTTGGGTCCCTAAATCCCTGATGCCCCTTTGAAAATTGGAGCCTAACTGACATGCCCAGGATCACACAGAGTCTGTGACAGAGCATGAACTGAGCCCAGGACTCCTGAGTTCCTGTGTCTTGAGCATATGATCATTCTTCCTTCCATCAATAGGCAGAGACTGAGGAGCTCAGTTCATGCTAGGGGAAAGGCTGGTACTAGGGGGGGTTTGCTCTCCCTTTCACATTTGCAGGCTTGGGATGAAATTTGCCTTTGGTTTCAAGTGAACTGAGTTTGATGGTCTCAGCCTAGCACACAGTGGTCCACAGTTGGTAGTATCTGCTTAGGAGATACCTGTACCTGGATATCAGGCTTGTTTGGGCTGCTCAGCCTTGAGGACATAAATTGGCAATGTTGCATGGAGTTGTGGGGTAGGACAGGTGTATAGCTCCTGCCTATGCTTTTTATGGCTCTAATCAATACTATTGGTTCCTTGCCTTAAGTACTACAGTATGCCAAATGGCCTGGACAGTATTCTGGGCCAATGGAGCAGCCATTGATGGAAGAGCACCTCCGTGATTAAAGTGAACATGTCCCCCATTCTGTGTATGCAGGGTGGCAATGGGGAAGGAGCTGCAGCAGTCCAAGAGAGTGATTCGCAATACTCAGCACAAACTGGTGGAGCAGTCAGTGGTAAGATCCCTAGGACCCATCCTCTGACACTGTGACTCACCTAGATTGTCAGCTTCTCCTTTGGTTGTACAGCACCATACACTAGTAACTTGGAGCCAATAGCAAGATGGGTGAGGCTCTGATCTGTAAGTCTCCCCTCCATGAAGTCTTGTCAGCATCTCATTCTGCAGGAGGGCTTGATCAATCTCGACTGCTGTTTCTGATAGCAGGGTCAGACTATATCAAAGAAAAACGCCTGTGTCCAGCACATTTGTGCAGCACTATGGAGCAGGGCCAGCTCATCCTCCATGGATGTGTCAAGTTTTGTGCTTCTGTCTCTAAGAAGCCAGAAACTGTCAGTTCCTCTGGATAAATGAACCCCCTTAGTACCTGGAAGATTCAGTTCTTCAATACTAAGGGGCCATGTAAATGAGTTGCTGAGTCTTAGTCCAATTCTTAGTTATTGAACAGCTCTGTGCCTCTATTTCCCTAGCTATAAAATAGAGGCAATAAGAATTTCCTCCCTCACAAGGTTCTGAGGCTTCATTCCATAATGCTTGTAAAGTGTTTTGAGATCCCCAGAGGGAAGGTGCCAATGACGTGCTCAGTTGGTGCCCAGATTCTTTGGGGGATGGGCAGCACAGAAATATGTGCAGTAAACATTTCCTGGGTTGTTCTTGGATGACAGCAGAATCTTCCCTCCCTCTCTGCCCCTTATGAACTGTCTCTTGTGGTCCCTTATGGCCTGCTTTTAAATAGTGCCCCTTTCCCGGGAAAGTGGACTGTTTGAAAGTAAAGTTTCTAAGTTAACCTTCCTTTTCCTATTGAATACTAGTGATTAAAGCTCAGCTGGCCAATAGGAGGCTCAGAGAAGAGCCTGATTCCCTGGGGGTGACTGTATGCTTCCTGTGCTGTAGGTGCTGCTCACCTCTCAGAGCCAGCTCAAAGAGGTGGAGGTTGAGAATTCCCAACTGCAACTTCAGCTGAAGGAACTGAATGAGGAATATCGCTGTCGTCTTACTCAGTACATCAAGGACCTGGCGGTGAGGATCCCTGCCACGTATGGGCATCTGCATTTCCTTTCTTTGGGTTTAGTTATTCCTTCTGGTTTTACAGGGCAGACATTTGAGTTTGGGTACTGCCCACTGCTCTCAAACCACTGCTGTTTCCCTCTTCGAGCTGCAGGCTAGTGGAACATGCAGTGCAGTAATACCACTCTGTCTGATGGCTGTAGGGAGAGTTGAAGAATGGGATCTTTTCTCCCTCTTTGTGAAAGTCTAACTGTACACTGCATGTGTTCTGATTGCAGCCCATGAGTCTGGGGGCAGGAATACCCAAATCATTCCCTGCCCCAGATTTCCCATGTGACAGCCCAGAACAATCACCGAGTCTCTGTCATGTCTCTCTCTCGGTCAAGTTATTTTAATTGCACTTTCATTTTATTTATTATGGCTACTTTTCAATTGGCTTCTAAACCCAGTGCCCTGGAAGTCTCTCTCAGCAGGCCAGACTGTGCCACTTTTGGCTTCACAGTGTGCTGACTCCATGGTTTGTGGTAAAAGAATCCTCCCTTTGTTCCTCCGGGAGGAAACATGATCCATGGCCCCTTCACCTTTCCTGCTGTATCACAGAATCTTGTAACATGAGTGGCCTAAGGTTATTATGGGAATACGTTTCTCTGGCATGCAACCAGTCTTGCAGAGGATCACTGAGGACTCGGAGCACTGCAGAAGTGTCAGACTTCATGGCATAGGACCTACACTGATCCCTGAGTACATTCTGCAGGACAGTTCATTGAGAAAAATTGGCCATATCTTGGAAGAAATCTGCTAGTCTCTCCACCCTAGGTAGCAGTACAGAGTCTTTGCCAACAGCTCCAAGAGATCGCAGTGTGGTGATGTATCAAGAGAACAACTGAAGGGAACCTTTGCTAAGAAGAACAGTTCAGTTTCTAATAGAGCTATGTAATCTTCTGAACAAACAAGGAGTCAGAGATAGTGTGGCCTAATGGAGTGAGCAGAGGAATAGAAGCCAGCACTCCCACCTCTGCCACTGACTGTGTGTCCAAGGTATTAATGTCTCTGTGCCTCATTTTCCCCACTTGTTGGAGGCTAGTTAGTTTGTACTGCACTTACTAATTGGAAAGTGCTGTAAATGTTAAGCATTCTGATGAGTTCTCCTGTGTACCGCCATGCAGGACAGGGAGTAGCCATCCTAATACATTGGTTGAGTGTCTTAGGAAACAGTCATTCCATGTCCAGCAGTCTGCTTGAGCTGATTTCCTTCTCTGTGTTTAAAGGAATATATGGACAGTAAATCAAATGCTTCTAAGGTGCCTAACAAAGTACCAGCTGACCATGCTTACATGAAGCGCTTTGTGGATGGCATGCTGAAGGACATTCGGGCTGCCCATAAATCTCGGGAGGAGCAGCTGGCTGGAGCTGTGCGTGGTTACAAGAAGCGCATGCAGAACCTTGTCAAGAGGCATGAAAACCTGCTGATTGCTTATAGGTAGGTCAGGGGGCTTTTGAGTCTTTTCTGTAGCCATGAAAGATCATCATCCCTCTAAAGCACCCAGGTAAGGACTGCTTAGAACAATTTGGGCTCTATAGTCCTTCAGAGCAACACCACACCATCCTCCATTAATGGTGGAGAGGCAACCAGAGGCTAGTGATTGGAACGGAGAATTTGTGGTCTGGAGACTTGGGTTCTGTTTTTGACTCACTAAACACTCTTGAAAATCAGGAGCAAAGTGTCTCAACTTATGCACCCAAAATTGGGACTCTTCTCAAAATTCAGGCATTCTTTGTGCCTTAGTTTCCCACTATGTAAAATGTGAATTAAGACACTTGCTAAACTTTGTAAAGCTCTATAGACAAGAGGTGCAGTACAAGTGCACAGCACTTACCATATATACTCTTTCATAAGCCGAATATTTTTGGTAAAAAAGTGGCGCATCAAAGAGCGGGGGTTGGCTTATAAACGGGTCTACACCAAAATTTGATGGTTTTAAACTCTATGGAATCATTGAATTGAATATCTAATACATTGTCATTTTGTTTACCTGGAGCCTCTGCAGGCATGGAGCCCCTCAGCTCCCTGTGGCTGGGAACGGCAAACCGGAAGTTCCCGCAGCTCCCATTGGCTGGGAACGGTGAACTGCGGCCACAGGGAGCTGAGGGGCTCCATGCCTGCAGACGCTCCAAGTAAACAAAACATCCCGCCAGCGGCTTACCCTGACAGGTTGGGAGCCAAAGTTTGCCAACCCATTTATTGATGTCAACACTGCAAAGTTGTTTAAAGTTGCAAAGGCTTTGTTTAGTGGACTAGATTGGCTTGAAATGGACCTCATAAGTCTCAAGCCAATATGAAAATATAATGTGCAGAATCGATGGAATCTCTAATAAAATTGAAATAGCCTCTTATCATAGAATCTCAGGGTTAGAAGGGACTTCAGGAGGTCATCTAGTCCAACCCCCTGCTCAAAGTAGGACTAATCCCCAGACAGATTTTTGCCCCAGATCCCTAAATGGCCCCCTCGAGGATTGAACTCACAACCTTGGGTTTAGCAGGCCAATGCTCAAACCACTGAGCTACCCCTCCCTACATGCCCATCTATAGGGCTGCTTTGAAATAAACAAAGAACAATAATAATTTGACAGTGATAAAGCAGGTGACATTCCTATATAAAGTCCTACAAAATCTATAACTACTATAATAATAATAATCTATTTTCATACTAGTATTTAAAATGAACAATGGTGAAATCAAAAGAAAAAGGTCTTATCATGCAGCGCTCAAACTTAAAGTTGTTGAATATGCAGACTCAAACAATAATTGCGCCACTGCTCGTGAATTCTGTATCAATGAGAAGCAAGTAAGAGAATGGCGAAAAAATAAAACACTAAAAGACATGCCAAGAAGCAAGAAAAAATGTCCAACGAGGTGCGCTTCATTTCCTGAGCTAGAGAAAGATCTCAATAATTGGGTTCTTGAATGTCGACAAAATGGGTACATTGTCACTAGAACTGGAACTCGTCTGCGTGCTCTGCAAATGTCGAAAGACGACAAATACAAGTCAGTAAAGCCATCAATGTTTGTCGCATCAGCGGGTTGGTGTACTCGCTTCATGAACCGTCATGGTCTCTGTCTTCGTCAGCGAACAAAGATAGCGCAAAAGCTGCCTAGAGATCTGGAAGAAAAAAATCGAATCTTTCCAAAGGTTTATTATAAAATATCAAAAGGAATATGCATTTGAACTGTCACAAATAGGAAATATGAACGAAACACCACTGATATTCGATCTCCCGTGCAACAGAACAATAACCGGTGTTGGTGAAAATACAGTTTTAATTAACTGGCCATGAAAAAAATCCATTTTACGGTGGTTTTATCATGTTTGGCAAATGGATCAAAGCTCCCTCCTGTTATTTTTTTAAAAGAAAAACCTTGCCTAAAAACATGAAATTTCCTGATGGTGTCATCGTACATGCACACGAAAAGGGATGGATGGATGAAAGTGGGACTATTGAATGGCTGGAAAAAGTGTGGAATAAGAGACCAGGAGCACTTTTCAAGAAACCTGCTATGAAAAATGTGGACAAAAATATGAAAACTACTTTGGCTGTAATACCTGAAGGCTTAACTTCAGTTCTACAACCGCTTGATTTCTGCCTGAACAAACCCTTTAGACAGGCTACGCAAAATGTGGTCTGAAACTCTGAATGGATGTGCTCAGGCATGGCGAAGTTGACAAAAGGCGGGAATCTTATGAAGCCCGAAATCCATCTGGTCGCCCAGTGGATCAAGGACGCGTGGGTGTCCATTCCCTCGGAAATGGTAGAAAAATCATTTAGGAAATGCTGTATTAGCAATGCACTCGACGGGTCAGAAGATGATGCCATATTTGATGATGACACAACAGAGGCTGATGATGAGAAGGAATCTGAGTCTGAAGACAACACTGCCGACATCTACGATGACAATGCAGGTGCAGCTGTGACTGAAGCCAAATTTAATGAACTGTTTGGTGAACCAGAGACTGATTCAGCCTTTGAAGGATTTTAAGACTTTTTAAAGTCTCATTGTTTTGTTTTTAAATATCCATTTACTGATTTTAAATAGTGACTGTAATTTTGAAGGTGAATACGTATTTGTTCAGTTATTAGAACAACCGTTTTTTCGTTAGAGTACATTAAAATAATTCTAGCAAAACTTTTGAGTGTTTCTTGTGATGCCAGTTTTTAAAATATAGCAGGGGTTGGCAAAGTCCCGCAGCTCCCATTGGCTGGGAACGGCAAACCGCGGACATTGGGAGCTGAGGGGCTCCGTGCCTGCAGACGCTCCAAGTAAACAAAACGTCCCAACCCGCCAGTGGCTTACCCTGATGGGACAGGAGCCAAAGTTTGACAACCCCTGAAATATAGGGTCGGCTTATGAAAGGGTTATACAGTTTTTTGCTCTTTTTACCTAACCATCTTGGGGGGGTTGGCTTATAAACAAATGGGCTAATGAACAAGTATATATGGTAGAATCATAGACTATCAGGGTTGGAAGGGACCTCAGGAGGTCATCCAGTCCAATTCCCTGCTCAAAGCAGGACCAATTCCCAACTAAATCATCTCAGCCAGGGCTTTGTCAAGCCTGACCTTAAAAACGTCGAAGGAAGGAGATTCCACCACCTCCCTAGGTAACCCATTCCAGTGCTTCACCACCCTCCTAGTGAAAAAGTTTTTCCTAATATCCAACCTAAACCTCCCCCACTGCAACTTGAGACCATTACTCCTTGTTCTGTCATCAGGTACCACTGAGAACAGTCTAGATCCATCCTCTTTGGAACCTCCTTTCAGGTAGTTGAAAGCAGCTATCAAATCCCCCCTCATTCTTCTCTTCTGCAGACTAAACAATTCCAGTTCCCTCAGCCTCTCCTCATAAGTCATGTGCTCCAGCCCCCTAATCATTTTTGTTGCCCTCCGCTGGACTCTTTACAATTTTTCCACATCCTTCTTGTAGTGTGGGGCCCAAAACTGGACACAGTACTCCAGATGAGGCCTCACCAATGTTGAATAGAGGGGAACGATCATGTCCCTCGATCTGCTGGCAATGCCCCTACTTATACAGCCCAAAATGCCGTTAGCCTTCTTGACAACAAGGGCACACTGTTGACTCATATCCAGCTTCTCGTCCACTGTAACCCCTAGGTCCTTTTCTGCAGAACTGCTTCCTAGCCATTCAGTCCCTAGTCTGTAACAGTGCATGGGATTCTTCCGTCCTAAGTGCAGGACTCTGCACTTGTCCTTGTTGAACCTTATCAGGATTCTTTTGGACCAATCCTCTAATTTGTCTAGGTCCCTCTGTATCCTGTCCCTACCCTCCAGCGTATCTACCACTCCTCCCAGTTTAGTGTCATCTGCAAACTTGCTGAGAGTGCAGTCCACGCCATCCTCCAGATCATTAATGAAGATATTGAACAAAACCGGCCCCAGGACCGACCCTTGGGGCACTCCACTTGAAACAGGCTGCCAACTAGACATGGAGCCATTGATCACTACCTGTTGAGCCCGACTATCTAGCCAGCTTTCTATCCACCTTATAGTCCATTCATCCAGCCCATACTTGTTTAACTTGCTGGCAAGAATACTGTGGGAGACTGTATCAAAAGCTTTGCTAAGGTCAAGGAATAACACATCCACTGCTTTCCCCTCATCCACAGACCCAGTTATCTCCTCATAGAAGGCAATTAGGTTAGTCAGGCATGACTTGCCCTTGGTGAATCCATGCTGACTGTTCCTGATCACTTTCCTCTCCTCTAAGTGCTTCAGAATTGATTCCTTGAGGACCTGTTCCATGATTTTTCCAGGGACTGAAGTGAGGCTGACTGGCCTGTAGTTCCCCAGATCCTCCTCCTTCCCTTTTTTTAAAGATGGGCACTACATTAGCCTTTTTCCAGTCATCCGGGACCTCCCCTGATCGCCATGAGTTTTCAAAGATAATGGCCAATGGCTCTGCAATCACATCTGCCAACTCCTTTAGTACCCTCGGATGCAGCGCATCCGGCCCCATGGACTTGTGCTCGTCCAGTTTTTCTAAATAGTCCCGAACCACTTCTTTCTCCACCGAGGGCTGGTCACCTTCTCCCCATACTGTGCTGCCCAGTGTAGCAGTCTGGGAGCTGACCTTGTTTGTGAAGACAGAGGCAAAAAAATCATTGAGTACACTAGCTTTTTCCACATCCTCTGTTACTAGGTTGCCTCCCTCATTCAGTAAGAGGCCCACACTTTCCTTGACTTTCTTCTTGTTGCTAACATACCTGAAGAAACCCTTCTTGTTACTCTTAACATCTCTTGCTAGCTGCAACTCCAAGTGTGATTTGGCCTTCCTAATTTCACTCCTGCATGCCTGAGCTATATTTTTATACTCCTCCCTGGTCAGTTGTCCAATCTTCCACTTCTTGTAACCTTCTTTTTTGCGTTTAAGGTCAGCAAGGATTTCACTATTAAGCCAAGCTGGTCGCCTGCCATATTTACAGTTCTTTCTACACATTGGGATGGTTTTTTCCTGCAACCTCAATAAGGATTCTTTAAAATACAGCCAGCTCTCCTGGACTCCTTTCCCCCTCATGTTATTCTCCCAGGGGATCCTGCCCATCAGTTCCCTGAGGGAGTCAAAGTCTGCTTTTCTGAAGTCCAGGGTCTGTATTCTGCTGCTCTCCTTTCTTCCTTGTGTCAGGATCCTGAACTCGACCATCTCATGGTCACTGCCTCCCAGGTTCCCATCCACTTTTGCTTCCCCTACTAATTCTTCCCGGTTTGTGAGCAGCAGGTCTAGAAGAGCTCTGCCCCTAGTTGGTTCCTCCAGCATTTGCACCACGAAATTGTCCCCTACACTTTCCAAAAACTTCCTAGATTGTCTGTGCACCGCTGTATTGCTCTCCCAGCAGATATCAGGGTGATTAAAGTCTCCCATGAGAACCAGGGCCTGTGATCTAGTAACTTCTGCTAGTTGCCGGAAGAAAGCCTTGTCCACCTCATCTCCCTGGTCTGGTGGTCTATAGCAGACTCCCACCACAACATCACCCTTGTTGCTCACACTTCTAAACTTAATCCAGAGACTCTCAGGTTTTTCTGCAGTTTCATACCGGAGCTCTGAGCAGTCATACTCCTCTCTTACATACAATGCAACTCCCCCCACCTTTTCTGCCCTGCCTGTCCTTCCTGAACAGTTTATATCCATCCATGACAGTACTCCAGTCATGTGAGTTATCCCACCAAGTCTCTATTATTCCAGTGACATCATAGTTCCTTGACTGTGCCAGGACTTCCAGTTCTCTCTGCTTGTTTCCCAGGCTTCTTGCATTTGTGTATAGGCACTTTAGATAACTCGCTGATTGTCCCGCTTTCTCAGTCTGAGGCAGGAGTCCTCCCCTCTTGCACTCTCCTGCTCGTGCTTCCTCCCGGTATCCCATTTCTCCACTTACCTCAGGGCTTTGGTCTCCTTCCCCTGGTGAACCTAGTTTAAAGTCCTCCTCACTAAGTTAGCCAGCCTGCTTGCAAAGATGTTCTTCCCTCTCTTCGTTAGGTGGAGCCCGTCTCTGCCTAGCACTCCTCCTTCTTGGAACACCATCCCATGGTCGAAGAATCCAAAGCCTTCTCTCTGACACCACCTGCATAGCCATTCATTGACTTCCACAATTCAACGGTCTCTACCCAGGCCTTTTCCCTGCACAGGGAGGATGGACGAGAACACCACTTGCGCCTCAAACTCTTTTATCCTTCTTCCCAGAGCCACGTAGTCTGCAGTGATTCGCTCAAGCCAATTCTTGGCAGTATCATTGGTGCCCACGTGGAGAAGCAGGAAGGGGTAGCAATCCGAGGGCTTGATGAGTCTCGGCAGTCTCTCCGTCACATCGTGAATCCTAGCTCCTGGCAAGCAGCAGACCTCTCGGTTTTCTCAGCTGGGGCGGCAGATAGATGACTCAGTCCCCCTGAGGAGGGAGTGCCCGACCACCACCACCCTCCTCCTTCTCTTGGGAGCGGTGGTCGTGGAACCCCCATCCCTAGGACAGTGCATCTCATGCCTTCCAATTGGTGGAGTCTCCTTCTGCTCCCTTCCCTCAGATGTATCATCTACTCCACTCTCCGCATTAGTACCTGTGGAGAGAACATGAAAACGGTTGCTCACCTGTATCTCCATTGCTGATACATGGATGCTCCTCTTTCTTCTTCTAGAGGTCACATGCTGCCAATTTTCTTCACCGTCCCTCAGTCCCCTCTGTGCAACCTGCTCCGATTCTTCAGAACGTTGTGCCTGTAGAAGCATATCCTGACGTCTGTCCAGGAAATCTTCATTTTCTCTTATGCAGCGCAGGGTCAATACTTGTTTCTCCAGACCTCGAACCTTTTCTTCCAATATGGAGACCAGCTTGCACTCTGTACAGACAAAGTTGTTTCTGTCCTGTGGAAGAAAGACAAACATGGCACAACCTGTGCAGGTACTTTAATTCTTCTTAACCAGGGGTAACTCATGCTACATAATCCTTCCATGCAACACGTGCTCCATACTTGATGCTGTGTCCTCCTCATTTCATACAGCCCTTCCCTGAAACACAACCATGTACCATTGTCTTTCCCAGGAGATGGGACTGTAGGTAATGGTTGAGGTGCACTGGCTATGGTGGAACTCTAAGTTCCTCTATCCTCTCTGTTAGCAGAAACATGCCAAAGAATAGTGTGAATGCTTCTGGCTGGTCCTATTCATCTCAGTGTGTGGCTTGGCCTTTCATTGGTATCAGATATAAAGAAACCAGTGGACAGTAATTTACCAAGCTGATGCTGCCTCCATCATTGTTATTACTTGTTGTTTGACTAACCCTGCTGGCTTCTTTTAAGGATGCAGCGTGAGCAGATCCAGTCTCAGGGCAGCAGCGAGATGGACCCAGGCCCTCCTGAGTTCCATTTCACCATCACAGATTCTGAGCTACTGACAAGCACAACCCAGGAGCTAAACCAGCTGCGAGAGGACAAAGCAAAACTAGAGAGACAGCTGCATGAACTGCAGGAGAAGGTAACCACATGCTTCACTGGATTACTGTTGTGCAGGGAGTGGACTTGTCAGGTGGAGGGAGAGGTTCAGTTTGATCTCTCGATGCTCAGTGGTTTGAGCATTGGCCTGCTAAACCCAGGGTTGTGAGTTCAATCCTTGAGGGGGCCACTTAGGGATCTGGGGCAAAAATCTGTCTGGGAATTGGTCCTGCTTTGAGCAGGGGGTTGGACTAGATGACCTCCTGAGGTCCCTTCCAACCTTGATATTCTATGATTCTATGATTTTCCCCTCTTGATCCTCTAGTGCAGTGGTTCTCAACCTATTTACCATTATGAGCCACATCCAATACTACATGTATGGCCCTGAGGATGTCACATGGGCTGCAGCTGTGTGCTGATTGGGCCACAGGTTGAGAACCACTGCTCTAGTGTTTGTTGTAACCCAGGCTGCCCTTCTGGGGGGCAGCACCAGGGATGGCCCATGCTCTCCATCCCTTTGTGCCTCTCCTTGTGACAACTGTGAAGAGGTGGGACACCTGACAACAGCTGTCATGTCTAGTATAGTAGTACCTGCTGGACCTCTGCAGTGTGTAGGTTTGCACACTGCAAAGGTTGCAGGGATGACAAAGAGATCTGTGGGGGAGGGTTGTTCTTCAGTCTGGGGATCGTGGAGTAAGCCAAGGAGTGAATAGTCCATAACTACCTTAAGGATACTATAGTTGCAGCCTCACTTCTTGGAGAAAAGCCAGGGAGGCAAGAGAGGGCAGAGCAAAGATTTCACTATCCTTGGAGGCTTTACTGTCTTGGCAAAATAAAATATACAAGGAGTTGAATGGCAGACAATACCTGGAAAGGTTCCAATTTTATCCATTTCCTCCCCTTAATTTTGCCCAAGAGCAGTTATGTTCCTAAGGTCTTAGTTCAAATGAGCTACCTTTACTTCCCAGTAGAGAGAGAGAGAGCCACAAGCCTTGAACATCTTGCAGAGCACTTCCTTGTTAGTGTCAGTGGTGGCCATTTACCATACTGAGATGTCCAATGCTGGCCCTGCAAAGGAACAGGGATTGCATTGGGTTAATGTCACAAAGATGATGTTCTTCCTTTGCCTACAGAAAAGACTGAGTGAAAGCTCTGCGCTAGGACCATCTCTTCACCAGTAAGTAGCTTCCATTTATGTAATTGGTATTGTAATCTCCGTGTCAAAGGTGGCTGCCTCCTTCATCCCTCTGCATTACACTAAGGATCCAGGACTTGCTTCAGCTGTTTGGGGATAAGGTAATAAATAGGGACAGGAGAGGCCATGCTGACTGAAATAATTTAATATCTACAAAAACGTATGTGAGTGGAAATGTCAGTTCTTCTTCGAGTGGTGTCCCTGTGGGTGCTCCACTCTAGGTGTCGGTGCGTCCCTGCGCCGGAGATCAGAGATTTCTCACAGCAGTACTCAGTCGGGGGAAGGGCACGCACAGGAGTCCTCTCATGCAGCCGTTGGCACCTCCTGTAGCACGCACTCCCCCGACCGTCCACTCAGTTCCTTCTCAACCGTCCTCGGTTGCAGACGGAACTCCGTGGCAGTGCTTTCTTTGATACTTTCTGGGGGGGGAAATAAACAAAGTTACAAGTTAAATAGGAACTTCTTATTAGTCTATACTTAGTTACATTGTTTAGTTAGTCATAGTCTACATAGTTTCGTTAGTTCCTCTTAGAGGTTTTTCTTCAAAAACAAAAACAAACCAAAAAAAAAGAGACGAAAGAAGACTCTTTCTCTGCTTAACTCCCAGTTTGGGAACAGTTTTTACAGTTTACCACTACAATTAACTCCTATTCTTATCTCTTGAGAGGGGGGAGAGGCTTAACTGCAGTCATGCCGGGCTCAACAGGATTTAAAAAGTGTGACTCCTGCCGTGAACCGATGCCGGTCTCTGGCCACATATCCTGCATTCGCGGTCTGGGAGAAACTCATCTGTCCCAGAAATGCATACATTGCACCAACTTAACAGCAAGGGCAAGACGTGAGAGGGATCTCTGCTTGAAAATGCTTCTGCTGGAGAAATCCCTCCAACCTCCGCAAGAGACGTCCTCCGGGGCGTCTCATAAACCGAGATCTCTGAGCTCTGATAAGGCTCCGACTTCCAAAACTGTCAGGAAGCGAGCCTCGACCTCTCCAGCAAGGGTCTCTCAGAAAAAGAGAGCTTCTCCAGTGAGGTCTTTACCCTCAGTGCTCCACTCATCCAGAGTGAGCACTTACGAGGCACTGGGCTCCTCCGGCACCATCTCTCAGCGGACCCCTGCCGAGCCCCAACACGTGGCACCGGAGCTGACATGTCAAGTCTCTTCCACGGCACTGACTACCCTGGTGCAGAGGAGGACCTCCCCAAGCATAAACATCCTCAACTCAACATCAACGAGGGTCAGTTAATAGCCCGCACAGCGCTGCAAGCCTCAATGGATGTAGCAGACACAGCTGCCCGAACAACCGCAACAGCTGTGGTTATGAGAAGAACATCATGGTTGCAGGCTTCGGGAATTCCAAAAGAACTACAGCTAAAAGTGGAGGACCTCCTCTTCGGTAGGGATAAACTATTCTCATCTCAAACAGACATCGTCCTCCATACCATGAAGGCCTCCCGAGCAATGCTGCGTACACTAGGCATACACCAACCGCCTAACAAATGCCCTTGTTTTACACCATACCAGAGGTCACGAGACCCCTTGTTTAATCGTCAACAACCACAATACTTCACTCAGAACAGACCCAAACAACGGGCTCAGAGACAATGAGCTCCACAGAACTAGGCCTCGTCCATCTGTCCATCTACATCTAAGCCACAATTTTGAAGTCTTGGTTGAGGGTATGCACGACTTCCCCACACCTCTAGCGCCAACAGATACCCCATCCCACAATTTTGGTCACCGCGTACACCCGTTTTACCATGCCTGGGCTGCAATAACCACAGATCAATGGGTTTTGGAGCTCATACAATCTGGCTACACCATTCCTTTCACAGCCATCCTCCCTACCCTCCCCCTTCCCCATCCCTCTTCAGGACCCCTCTCACGAGCACCTTCTGCAACAGGAAGTAGACCACCTCCTACTGCTGGGTGCTGTAGAACCAGTACCACATCAATACCAAGGGAAGGGTTTTTATTCCAAATATTTCCTGACAGAGAAGAAAGGAGGGGGATGGAGACCAATCTTAGATCGCCGAAAACTCAACAGGTTCATACGCAACCACAGGTTCAAAATGGTCACTCTGGCCACAATAATCCCAGCGCTAGACGGGGGGGACTGGTTTGCAGCCCTCGACCTCCAAGATGCATACTTCCATATTACAATACATCCTGCCCACAGACAGTTCCTGCGGTTCACAGTGGGAGCCAATCACTACCAATACAGGGTCCTTCCCTTCGGACTGTCCACTGCTCCCCGCGTAGTCTCAAAAACGCTCGCAGTAGTAGCAGCACATTTACAACGCAAAGAAGTCATAATCTTCCCTTATTTGGACGATTGCCTTCTCAAGGGTGCCAATCGACAAACGGCAGGCATGCTGAAGACCACAATAGACCTGTTTCACCAGCTAGGTCTACAGATAAACAAAAAGAAATCCACCCTGGAACCAACCCAGTGATTGGAGTTTATCGGAGCCGACCTAGACTCCATACAAGCCAAGGCAATATTGCCAAACCACAGATTCACTACATTGACCAATCTTATTTCCACAGTGACCATCAGCCCACAAACTTCAGTGAGGACATGCCTTCAGATTCTGGGACATATGGCAGCTACGACTTTCATAGTAAAGTATGCCAGACTCCACATGCGCTGTCTGCAGCACTGGTTGAGCACGATCTATGCATCCAGCAAACACTTTCTCAACAGACGTGTGATGCTACCACCAAGGGTTATCCTCTCCCTACAGTGGTGGACACAGCCAGGGAATGTATGCTCCGGGATTCCCTTTCAACAAGACCCCCCCCCCATCAGTGACTATTACAACAGATGCCTCCCTGATAGGTTGGGGCGCCAACTTGGGTCACCACAATGTACAATGCAAGTGGTCTGTGACAAAAACCTGACTACATATCAATCTCCTGGAACTCCAGGCAGTACACAATGCATGCCGACATTTCCTCCCACTCATACGAGAAACCTCAATCTCTGTTCTCACCGACAATGTGGTGTGCATGTTTTACATTAATCGCCAAGGAGGAGCCAGGTCTCACTCGCTATGCGTAGAAGCCATGAATTTATGGAACTTCTGCATCCACAGCATCATACCTACCAGGGTGCCAAAACACTACAGCCGACAACCTCAGCAGGCACTTCTCACAAGAACACGAGTGGGAAATCCACAACAGTGTTCTTGGCACAATATTCCAAAAATGGGGTCACCCAGTAATCTACCTTTTTGTCTCTGCAACAAATCACAAATGTCCACTATTTTGCTCCAGGGCAGGCCTGGCACCGGGATCGTTAGGGGATGCCTTCCTCATCCTGTGAAACGCGTCACTCATGTACGCCTTCCCGCTGATCCCACAGGTCAGCCGCAAGATACGACTCGACAGAGCATACATCATTCTCATTGTCCCCACATGACCCAGACAGACTTTGTTTCCATACCTCTCACATCTAGCAGTCTGTGCCCCACAACCGCTGCCTTTCCGGACGGACCTCCTGTCCCAGAACAAGGGCCTGACTCTCCATCCAGAGAGATATTCTAGCAGATATACAGAACATGTACCCAGAAGTACGCCAACCTGCACCACCATGGGATCTCAATCTTGTGCTCAAATGTCTCACAAGACCACCCTTTGAACCTCTAGCAACCTGCTCACTCCTACATATGTCAATGAAGGTCACATTCCTAGTGGCAATCACGTCCGCAAGATGTGTCAGCGAAATAGGAGCATTGATGGCTGAACCACCGTACACTGTATTTACCAAAGACAAAATCATGTTATGTCCTCACCCAAAATTCTTGCCCAAAGTGGCTACAAATTTTCATATTAACCAAATCAAACACTTACCTGCCTTCTATCCCAAGCCACATAACTCTAGAGAGGCAACGTTGCACATGCTAGATGTCAGACGGGCTGTAGCCTTCTACTTGGACAGAACTAAACCATTTTGCAAGTCACCAAGACTATTAGTCTCTACAGCAGAGCGCTCCAAGGGCTCTACAATATCGACCCAGAGACTCTCCAAAGGGGGGTCTACCTGTATTCAAACTTGTTGCCACCTGCATCACTAAGAACCCCCTGTGGGCATCAGATCCCACTCAACGCGAGCCATAGCGACATCAATTGCATTATTGAACAATGTCCCCTTAATAGATATTTGTAGAGCTGCAATCTGGACATCGGAGGACACTTTTGCAAAGCATTACGCTATCACCCAAGGCCTTGTCTCAGACTCTATTGTTGGCCTCACAGTGCTCTCATCACACACTTATACATAACTCCGAACCCCTACCACCCCTGGTGGGGTACTGCTCTACAAGCACCTAGAGTGGAGCACTCACAGGGACACCACTCGAAGAAGAAATTATTCACCTTGTGCAATAATGATGGTTCTTCGAGATGTGTGTCCCTGTGGGTGCTCCACTACCCACCCTCCTCCCCTCTACTTCGGAGTTCACACAGACAAGCTCTGTGGTGGAGAAGGAACGGAGGGGACAGTCAGGGGAGCACGTGCTACAGGAGGTGCCAATGGCCGCATGAGATGACTCCTGTGCACGCCCTTCCCCTGACTGAGTACTGCTGTGAGAAATCTCCATCGCAGGGCCGCACCGACACCTAGAGTGGAGCACCCACAGGGACACACATCTGGAAGAACCATCGTTACTGCACAAGGTGCGTAACTTCTTCTTTTGTCAGGTACAGCATGCTTGGTCTTGAAATGAGGTAGCCATTGAGGCCCTAATTTTAATCATACTTGTAGTTCCATTGATTTAAATGGGACTACTTGTGTCCTTGAAGAATCAGGGCAGACTTGTTTCTGCTTTCTCACAGTACATGAACACGCTTGCAAGTTTTGGGTGGAGTAGGGGCTGGTGTAAGGTGTGCCACAACTGTATCTGGTACCTCCTAGATTTGGTTTCTTGTCACTTATTAAATAGTTTTTGATGAGTTATCTTTCTTTCCTCGCTACTGAGACTTTAATTACCTAGATCACAGAAAGAAAACAGATGTTAGGACAAAACTGTTAAGATTAGAAATATGCCTCCTGCAGGGGGCACTGTAGCTGCAGGAGACACACATGGCCTCATGTCCTTAGGGTCTACAGAGGACACTGTCCCCACTTCTCTCTAAGGGATCCATCTTTCCAGGAAGCAGTGATAGGTAGAGCCCTGTGCGTATACAAAGTTTGTATCCGCATCCAATCCACAAACATGGTCCGTGGATATAAAGTGGATAGCCGCAGATTTGCAGGACTCTAGTGATAGGAAGTAGTAGTGACTCAGGAACTAAGAAGAGATGCTGCAATCCAGAGCAGAGAAGTGTACAGGCTGAGATGGGCCTGCCATTGCTGCTGTCCTCAGTACTGCCACTATATGGGTATGTGTTTAAAGATACTCGCTATGCAGAACTTGAAGAATCAGTAGCAATTCTGATGATTGGCAGATGAGGGAGAGTAACTTGGAGGGACTACAATTTTTCCACCATGAATAGACTATTGTTTTTGGTACCGTCACCCTGATAAACTTGTAAGCATAGAGGACTCTCTTCCCAACACAGAGGGCTAGAAACATTTTTTTTTCTCAATCATTCAGACCCTAAGCTACATGGTTACCAAGTGTCTCTAGAAATGAGCGCTAGCTCTATGCCAAAAGCAACAGAGGGTCCTGTGGCACCTTTAAGACTAACAGAAGTATTGGAGCATAAGCTTTCGTGGGTGAATGCCCACTTCATCAGATGCAAGTAATGGAAATTTCCAGAGGCAGGTATAAATCAGAATGGAGATAATGAGGTTAGTTCAATCAGGGAGGGTGAGGTGCTCTGCTAGCAGTTGAGGTGTGAACACCAAGGGAGGAGAAACTGCTTCTGTAGTTGGATAGCCCATTCACAGTCTTTGTTTAATCCTGATCTGATGGTGTCAAATTTGCAAATGAACTGGAGCTAAGCAGTTTCTCTTTGGAGTCTGGTCCTGAAGTTTTTTTGCTGTAAGATGGCTACCTTTACATCTGCTATTGTGTGGCCAGGGAGGTTGAAGTGTTCTCCTACAGGCTTTTGTATATTGCCATTCCTGATATCTGACTTGTGTCCATCTATCCTCTTGCGTAGTGACTGTCCAGTTTGGCCAATGTACATAGCAGAGGGGCATTGCTGGCACATGATGGCAGATATAACATTGGTGGACTTGCAGGTGAATGAGCCGGTGATGTTGTAGCTGATCTGGTTAGGTCCTGTGATGGTGTTGCTGGTGTAGATATGTGGGCAGAGTTGGCATCGAGGTTTGTTGCATGGGTTGGTTCCTGAGTTAGAGTTCTTATGGTGCGGTGCGTGGTTGCTGGTGAGAATATGCTTAAGGTTGGCGGGTTGTCTGTGGGCGAGGACTGGCCTGCCTCCCAAGGTCTGTGAAAGTGAGGGATCATTGTCCAGGATGGGTTGTAGATCACTGATGATGCGTTGGAGAGGTTTAAGCTGAGGACTGTAGGTGATGGCCAGTGGAGTTCTGTTGGTTTCTTTTTTGGGCCTGTCTTGTAGCAGGAGGCTTCTGGGTACACGTCTGGCTCTGTTGATTTGTTTCTTTATTTCCTTGTGTGGGTATCGTAGTTTTGAGAATGCTTGGTGAAGATCTTGTAGGTGTTGGTCTCTGTCTGAGGGGTTGGAGCAGATGCGGTTGTATCTCAGCGCTTGGCTGTAGACGATGGATCGTGTGGTGTGTCCAGGGTGGAAGCTGGAGGCATGAAGGTAGGCGTAGCGGTCGGTGGGTTTTCAGTATAGGGTGGTAACGTGGCCATCGCTTATTTGTACTGTGGTGTCTAGGAAGTGGACCTCCCGTGTAGATTGGTTCAGGCTGAGGTTGATGGTGGGGTGGAAGCTGTTGAAATCATGGTGGAATTCTTCCAGGGTCTCCTTCCCATGGGTCCAGATGATGAAGATGTCATCAATGTAGCGTAGGTAGAGAAGGGGCTTGAGTGGACGAGAGCTGAGGAAGCGTTGTTCCAGGTCAGCCATAAAAATGTTGGCATATTGTGGGGCCATGCGGGTGCCCATGGCGGTGCAACTGGTCTGGAGGTATATATTGTCACCAAATTTGAAATAATTGTGCATGAGGATAAAGTCACAGAGCTCAGCAACAAGTTGTGCTGTGTCATCATCAGGGATACTGTTCCTGACAGCTTGTATTCCATCTGTGTGTGGGATGTTTGTGTAGAGAGCCTCTACATCCATGGTGGCTAGGATGGTGTTTTCTGGGAGGTCACCAATGCATTGTAGTTTTCTCAGGAAATCGGTGGTGTCACGGAGATAGCTGGGAGTGCTGGTGGCGTAGAGTCTGAGTAGGGAGTCCACATATCCAGACAGTCTTTCAGTGAGAGTGCCAATGCTCGAGATGATGGGGTGTCCAGGATTTCCAGGTTTGTGGATCTTGGGTAGTAGATAGAATAACCCTGGTCGGGGCTCTAAGGGTATGTTAATTTGTTCCTGTGTTAGTGTAGGGAGTGTCCTGAGTAGATGGTGCAGTTTCTTAGTGTATTCCTCAGTGGGATCTGAGGAAAGTGGCTGTAGAATTTGGTATTGGAGAGTTGTCTGGCAGCCTCCTTCTGGTAGTCAGACCTGTTCATGATGACAACAGCACCTCCTTTATCAGCCTCTTTGATGATAATGTCAGGGTGGTTTCTGAGGCTGCGGATGGCATTGCGTTCTGCACGACTTAGGTTATGCGGCAAGCGATGTTGTTTTTCCACAATTTCTGCCTGTGCACGTCGGCGGAAGCATTCTATGTATAGGTCCAGACTGTCATTTGGACCCTCAGGAGGAGTCCATGTGGAGCTCTATGCCAGATTCTGCCACTGTTTCCCATGCTGAGCAGTACTTTAATCCTTGAGTGCAATTCATTGCAATGGGACTACTTGAGAAATAAGGGACAAAAGTAGCAGAATCTGGACCTTAGTGATGAATCTTCCTGTTAAGTTTCTTTTAGAAGCTTGTGTTCTATCCACACTTGTAATGACGTTTATTTTCTGTATCTTGATGTTTACATCCTTGCCACGATCTCCCTCCTGTTACTAGCCTGACAGTGCACATTGTGAGAGACAAGGGGGGGGTGAGGAAATATTTTTTTATTGGACGAACTTCTGTTGAGAAGTTAATCCAATACAAGATATTACCTCACCCCCCCCTTGTGTCTCATATCCTGAGACCAATACAGCTACAACATTGCAAATGCATGTAGTTAACAGAGTTGTTTCACTGAGAGTCATTGCTGTATTTCCCATTACTATTTAGACATATGTATTTTGCTGTTATTTTTGAGCTCTTAACTATTTTACTTATATAAAATTACAGTCCCCTTCTTCCAGAAAGTCATCTATTTTTCCCAGTTAACCGAGACACCAGAGGGAGCTCTTTCAGTCCCAATTAAGTCTTTAACTTATATGGGCTACAGAGTTTGAACACAATGCATTCCTCAGTTCATACCATTCTTTCTATATAATCAAAATCCCCTGGCCATCAGATGTGACCTATATTTTGCTTATTCAGCCCAGGACAGAATAGGAAGAACTTTCCCATGGCTTGGCTGCCTTTCTTCATAATTAGCTCATCTGTCACCGTTTTTACACTCCACATTAGAATGAGTGGATTTGTGCAGAAGCACAAAAAGAATTAAGTGCGGGCTATGGCTACACTGGCACTTGACAGCGCTGCAACTTTCTCGCTCAGGGGTGTGAAAAAACACCCCCCTGAACGCAGCAAGTTACAGCGCTGTAAAGCACCAGTGTAAACAGTGCCCCAGCACTGGGAGCCGCGCTCCCAGTGCTGTAAGCTAATCCCCTTGGGGAGGTGGAGTACCTGCAGTGCTGGGAGAGCTCTCTCCCAGCGCTGGCGCTGCGATCACACTCGCACTTCAAAGTGCTGCTGGGGGAGTGCTCCCCTGGCAGCACTTTGGAGTTTCGAGTGTAGCCATGCCCTAGTGTTTAGCATTTGTTGCAGTGGGGTAGCCAGGGTTGCAACCGAGGAGGAGCGGCGGAGAAAAAAGGCGCCGGTCCTTCGGCGGCATTTCGGCGGCCCTGCGCATGTGCCGAAATGCCGCCGAAAGACGGAGCGGCACATGCGCAGGGCTGCCCCACTTCCCCATCCGGACCACTGTCCGGGGCACCGAGACCCCCGGCCACGCTCTCAGGGCTGGAGTCCCGGCCGGAGCGCCGGGAGTCCGCGGCCCCGTTCTGCTGGCTGCCCGGAGCGCCGGGAGGCGGGAGCCAGCAGGCCAGCCCGTGGCCCTGTTCCGCCGGCCGGCCGGATCACCGGGAGCTAGCCCGTGGCCCCGTTCCGCCGGCCGGTTGGAGCGCCAGGAGGCGGGAGCCAGCAGGTCAGCCCGTGGCCCCGTTCCGCTGGCCGGCCGGATCACCGGGAGCTAGCCCACGGCCCCTTTCCACCGGCCGGTCAGAGCGCCAGGAGCCAGCCCACAGCCCTGTTCCGCCGGCCGGCCGGGGTGCCGGGAGCCAGTCCGCGGCCCCGTTCCACAGGTGCCACTTTTGGGGACAGCTACGCTACTGATTTGTTGTGCCTCTCACCTCTTTCCCCACAAAGTTCAGCCCTACTGAGTCAGGTTAATGATTATTTCTGCACCTTCTCATGTCTGTTTGATGTAAACTAAGGGCAAATCCAGCCACCACAGCAGAGATCCAGGTTGTAGGACCTGTGACTCTCATTGCCCAGGTAGGTGAAGGAACAGAGATGTGCTCTGCAGCCATACAGGGAATCATTCTGGAAGATGATCTGAAATTTATACTTTCTGGGGTGCTGAAAAGGCAGTAGCATGTCTGGTGGCCATGCTGAGCCCCATGGTTTAGGGATGGTCTGGCTTTGTATATATGATTGTAATTAACATCTGCTGCTCTGTCCTAGCAAGCTGGATGAGGAGGGCTGGGCAGAGATCAGGAAGCAGCTCCGGGAGTTCACACATACCACGCAGGTAAAATGCTTTCTGTTCTGAGGCAGACTGAAAAGAGGGCTAAGCATAGACAAAGCACTTCTGCAATTGTAATGGTCACTGCCACTGTCAGGGTTCCCTCCCCACTCTGAATCTGGGGTACAGATGTGGGGACCCACATGAAAGACCCCCTAAGCTTATATTCCACCAACTTAGGTTAAAAACTTTTCCAAGGCACAAATCCTTCCTTGTCCTTGGATGGGTACTGCTGCCACCACCAAGTGAGTTAGACAAAGATTTAGGAAAAGGAGTTCCTGTTTCCTCAAAATATCCTCCCAACTCCCTTCACCCCTTTTCCTGGGGAGGCTTGAGAATAATATACCAACCGAATAGGTTTACAAGGTGAGCACAGACCAGACCCTTGGGTTTTTAGGACCCTAAAAACCAATCAGATTCTTAAAAAAAACAGAACTTTATTATAAAGAAAAAAGTAAAAGAAGCATCTCTGTAAAATCAGGGTGAAAAGTAATTTTACAGGGTAATAAGATTCAAAACACAGAGGATTCCCCTCTAGGCAAAACTTTAAAGTTACAAAAAAAACAGGAATAAACCTTCCTCTTAGCATAGGGACAATTCACAAGCTAAACCAAAAGATAATCTAATGTAATCTTAGATGCTTAGTTCAGGTATGGCTTTGGGAGATGTATTTTCCATGCCCTGATTCCTCAGAGAGAACACAAAGGAACACAAAACAAAAACTTTCAAATCTGTGTGGGAAGGTATCTTCTCCCCTCATTAGTCCTTTTGGTCAGGTGCCAACCCAGGTTATTTGAGCTTCTTAACCCTTTACAGGTAAAGGAGGGATTTTATGCTACCCTTAACTGTATGTTTATGACACACCCCCCAAATCATAGACAGTGCTGGACAGCCTGCTCCACAATGGCTGTGATTTTTTTCCTGGAGCTCTAGGAGAAAACAGAGTTAATAAGACACCTGCATCTTTAGATATACTACTGATTATATAAAAACGAACAATATTTTTCACATTTTAAGGATGATTTTAACCAGTTCATTTTGGGAAACTTTCACGGGAGAGTGTATCAGCCACTTTGTTAGAAGCTCCTGAAATGTGTTGTATTTTAAAATTAAAATCTTGGAGAGCTAAACTTCACCAAAGAAGTCTTTTGTTATTGTTCTTGATGGTATGAAGACACTTCAGCGCAGCCTGGTCGGTTTGCAGTTGGAAACACCGTCCCCAAACGTATAGGCATAGCTTTTCCAGAGTGTACACAATGGCGTAACATTCCTTATTGACCAGTGGCTTCTCCTTTCAGACAGTTTTTTGCTGAGAAACACGACAGGATGTTTTGATTCGGTCCTTCCTGCATTAAAACGGCTCCCACACCATGCTCGGACGCATCTGTGGTTACAGTACTGACCCGTTTACGTGCGAATCCGCTTAACGCGTGGTAGCACCATGCCTCCCAGTGCTACCTATTTAACACATGAGACTCGTTAACACACGGTACAAGAACTTGCTATGTAGCGCTACAGATTTGCTCACTAACTCACTGACATAGAAATCGACAGGAAGTGCAGAGCGGAAACGTGTTGTACATCTTTACCGCTGACGGGGGGGAGGGAAGGGGCAGCAACGTTAAAGTGCTGCCACAGAAGCACTTTAAGGACGGTCCTTTGCTGCGACAGCACTTTAAGGATCCTCAAAGCGCTGCCGCGGCAAAGGACCATCCTTAAAGTGCTGCTGCTGTTACCCGGGGTTCTTTGAACCCAAAACTCTCAGTAACTTTTATTCTGTGCGAGGCGGTATTAGGAAATAAATCAAGGGAGACACGGCCGTCCAACTGATCGATGGCTGGCACAAACAGGACAACACAAGAGTGCTTTTACTTAAAAGCTAAACTTTACTTAGTCTCAAGCACTTACACACGTCCGCAACAGGTTAGTGAAACACCCCCAACCCTCGATAATTACCGAAGCTGAATGTGGCTTTTGAGTGGCACTGTGACAGGCTTCAGCTGGCCAGGCCTCCGTCTGCTGGTGGGGACCCAAAGATGCGTCCAGAGGGAGCGTCCCTGAAGAGCCCCTCCTGAGAAGTCCAATTACCTCAAACTTTTCCCCCTTATTTATACATTAGTAATACAATGAGATATCCCTTAAAGAAAACTTGTTAAGCAAGTAGGGTTAAAAGGTCAGGCACCTTATGATTGCCAATTAACCAGAGATATTTTTTTTTTTTCTCAGAGTGTTCATGCCTTTGGGCCCTGACAAACATTCCCGGGGGCACATATAAACAGACTTCTTGTTTTTCTACAATACATGCATCAGCAATTTTAACACTCTTAGCAGGAAGGGTGTGGGGTCAAGCTGTCCTGTCTGTGGCACCCGAAACCCCCGCCCCTCCTGTCTGGTTACACTGAGGCCACTGTATGACCAATTTACGACCTGCTGACTTCACTACTTTTGTTAGCAATAAGCAAGAATGGTTCAGTATGGCCTGTTAACTTGACTACTGTTAGTAATACACAATAGTGGTTTAGGCACTTTACTTGTTTGCCAAAATCTCCCCGAACACCATGACAGTGCTTTAACGTTGCTGCCCCTCCCCCGCCCCGTCAGTGTCCCTGCCAGTAGGGACCCTACCAGAGGGCCGCCGATGGGGGAGGCAAAAAGGGCAGGGACATGAAAGCGACGGTCCTTTGCAGAGGCAGCGCTGTGCCACCAACGGGGGCGGGGGGGGGGAAGCAGCGCAGCAACGTTAAAGCGCTGCCGTGGCAAAGGACTCTGCAGCACTTTAAGGTCCCTGCCCCTTTTGCCCCCCCCCTTGGCCGGCAATTTAAAACGGCTCAGGGCTCTGGACGCCGCCCTTTAAATCACCATGGGAAACCCGGGCGGCATGGACCAGGCAGCCTAGAAGGGCTGGCTGAGGGATGCTGACCCCTAGCCCCTCCCCTTCCACACGAGGCCCCACCCCTTCCGGGGGCCAGAGCCGCCCCCGCCCCATACCAGTAAGGGTCTTGAGTTACTTTCACCCCTGTGTAGTAATAATAATGTTTTTATTGGATTACACATTTGAATTTATATTCTTGTAAAGCGCCGTTAACAGATAGGCCCGCAGTATTTGGGACGCTGTGAATATGTATGTAACCCTAGATAATTATACGTGTGTGTGTGTGTATAGATATCTTAAGATATTTCAGTGTGGCCCTCTTAACCCGTGGTCCATTAACACGCAGTCATGATGGCTTGACTCACGACATCCGCGCGTAAACGGGTCTGTACTGTACTATGAAAGGTTTGTTAATCTGGGGACCTCAGCACAGACTTAGACCTGAGTGTCACTTTAAGCTGGTTAAAGGCCTTTTGACACTTTTTAGTTCACTGAACTGCATTTGGCTGCTTTTTTTTTTTTTTTGGTTAGGTCTGTCAGTGGGGCAGCGATTTGGCTGTAGTGCTGTACAAATCGCCTGTAATATCCGGCCAAGCCTAAGAAGGATTGGACCGTGGGTTTTTTGTTTTTTTTTTGACTTTGGGACAGGCCACTTTTGGATAGCATTCACTTTGGCCTGTAGGGGTTGATAGTTCCTTGGCCCATCTGGTGTTCAAGGTAAGTTACTTTGTTTAGGCCTATTTGACACTTCTTAGCCTTAACAGTTAGTCCTGCCTCTCTTAAGCGCTTGAAGACTTTTTGTAGATGCTTTAGGTGTTCTGCCCATGAATCAAAAAAGATGGCCACATTGTCAAAGTAGGCAACTACAGATTCTCCCAATTCCATTAGGAGACAATCTACAAGTTTTTGGAAGGTGGCGGGTGCATTTTGCAGCCCGAAAGGGAGCACATTAAATTTATACAGCCCTACATGGGTGATGAAGGCTGACCTTTCCTTGGTGGATTCATCTAGCGGTACTTGCCAGTACCCCTTGGTTAATTCTAAGGTAGAGATGAACTGGGCACCTTCCAGTTTCTTCAATAGCTTATCTGTGCGTGGCATTGGATAGTTGTCTGGGCGAGTCATAGCATTTAGCTTACAGTAGTCCACGCAAAAGCGTATTTCCCCATCTGGTTTGGGAACTAGAACCACTGGAGATGCCCGTGCACTGTTAGAGGGGTGGATTACACCCATTTGTAGCATGTCCTGGATCTTCCATTCTATAGCAGTTTTGGCTTGAGAAGACACCCAGTAAGGTTGGGCTCTAATTGGGTGAGCATTACTTGTGTCAATGGAGTGGTATGCCCGTTCAGTCCGTCCTGGAGTGGCTGAGAACATCGGCACAAAGCTAGTGCACGGCTCCTTTATCTGCTGTCGCTGCATACGTCCAAAGGCATGGAGAGGTTCACCTCTTCCACGCCACTGTCACCTTTTCCTTCGTAGTAGACACTTTCAGGCCCTCAGCGTCATCTCCTCCCTGGGCTGTAAACTGACAAACCTTTAATTCTCTGGAATAAAAGGGCTTTAGAGAATTAACGTGGTACACTTTAGGATTTACGTTTGAGGTGGAGGATGCTATGAGATAGTTAACAGCTCCCAGGCGCTCTTGGACAGTGAATGGCCCTTCCAACAACGCTTCCATTTTATGGGCCTGGAGTGCCTTCAAGGCCATGACCTGGTCCCCTACTTTGAAGGAACGCTCTCTGGCATGTTTATTATACCAAGCTTTTTTCTCTTCCTGAGCATCTTTTAGGTTTTCTCTAGCAAGGGCTAAAGAGGTTCGGAGGGTGTTTTGTAGGTTGTTTACAAAGTCCAGAATGTTAGTTCCTGGAGAAGGCGTAAACCCCTCCGATTGCTGCTTCACCAACTGTAATGGCCCCTTAACCTCGCGGCCATACACAAGTTCAAATGGTGAAAACTCTAAACTGGGATGTGATACAGCTCTGTAGGCAAAGAGCAACCGCTGGTTGCCCATTCCCTCCCCACTCTAAACTCTGGGGTATAAATATGGGGACCCGCATAAAAAACCCCCTAAGCTTATATTTCACCAGCTTAGGTTAAAAACTTTTCCAAGGCACAAATCCTTCCTTGTCCTTGAATGGGTATTGCTGCCACCACCAAGTAAGTTAAACAAAAATTTAGGAAAAGAACCACTTGAAGTTCCTGTTTCCCCAAAATATCCCCCCAAGCCCTTCATCCCTTTTCCTGGAAAGGCTTAAAAATAATATACCAACCAAATAGGTTAACAAGGTAAGCACAAACCAAACCCTTGGGTTTTTAGAACACTAAAAACCAATCAAATTCTTAAAAAAAACAAAACTTTATTATAAAAAAAAAAAGTTAAAAAAGCACCTCTGTAAAATCAAAATAAAAAGTAATTTTACAGGGTAATAAAATTCAAAACACAAAAAATTTCCCTCTAGGCAAAACTTTAAAGTTACAAAAAAACAAAAATAAACCTTCCTCTTAGCATAAAAACAATTCACAAGCTAAAACAAAAAATAATTTAAAGCGTTTCCTTCCTATTACTTGCAATTTGTAATCTTAAATGCTTAGTTCAGGTATGGCTTAAAAAAATGTATTTTCCCTGCCCGAATTCCTCGCTAACCCCAAAAAAACACAAAGAAACACAAAACAAAAACCTTCCCCCACAATTTAAAAGTATCTTCTCCTCTCATTAGTCCTTTTGGTCAGGTGCCAACCAGGTTATTTAAGCTTCTTAACCCTTTACAGGTAAAGGAGGAATTTTATGCTACCCTTAACTGTATGTTTATAACAGCCACCGTTACCATTACATGTTCATTCCAAGGACAGATGCTTTTCTTGATCTAACATGCTGCTACCTGCTGGAGCTCTTCCATAACATTTCCTATCTGTGCACCAGCAGCAGTGCAGCTCCACTGGGAGATAACACCACTGGCAGTGGACAAGCTGGCAGTTTTACCACCATGTTGTCTAGATTTGCCCTGAGCAGGGTTGGCTGGCATGGCAATTAAAAACACTAGCGCTCCCTTTATTACTACCACTGGTGAATAAAAGAAGGGAAATGTTCAGGAGGAAAGGCTGTCGTAGACACCCCAAGCACAGTTTCTGAAACACTGTTGCCTGCAGTACTCTAGCACTTTAATCACTTTCAGTGCTGGGTTAGGGGGGACAACTGCTGAAAGCATTTGCAGCAGGGCTTCAATTTCCTAGCCTGGATTAGCTATAGACAATGAAGAAAAACATGCTTTCCTATCATTGCTTCTGTCCATACAAGTTAGGAGAAATCACATAATACTCTGTGGTCACATGATTGGGTTATTTTTTTTTTTAATTTCATTTAGACAAGGACTAAAGGAGGGAAGCAGTGTAGCCTAGCAGATAGAGCACTGGACTAAAACCTCAGGAGATATGCTGGGTTGGCCACTGGCCTGCTGGGTGACCTTGGGGAAGTCATAGCACCACTCTGTGCCTCAGTTTTCCCAGCTGTAAAATGGGGATAATGATACTCCTTTGTAAAATACTTTGAGATCTACTGATGAAAAGCACTAGATAAGAGCCAGAGATTATTATTATAAAGGGAAGATCTCTTTAAAAACTCTTGCCAGGGAAGGGGATGGAGGTCATATACATTTCAATGCTGTACATCTGGAAGCCACACTACCAATCCCCACACCGCCCTAGTGGAGAGAGTAGGTTGTGAGGCAGTTGTCTGGGGATAACTGGGGGTGTCTTAGGACTGGATTTAGCACTTTCCTGCTAGTCGTGTAACCAGAGGCTTTGGTATTAAACAGCACCTCCCCTCCCAGCCCATCTCAATGCACCTGACAGTGTCTCCAAGCTGGCTGCAATGGCAGGATGTCATTGTTTTCAGGGCACTGAACACCTGTAGTTTGGCTCTTTGGGAAGCTCATGTGTCTGAATGTTGTTCTGATTTTCAGTTAATCGGGCATCTTATTTAGCTTAATTCCCAGAAATCTCAGGGCTGGAGGATGAGTGTATGAGAACAGGAGTACTTGTGGCACCTTAGAGACTAACAAATTTATTTGAGCATAAGCTTTCGTGGGCTACAGCCCACTTCACTGTAGCCCACAAAAGCTTATGCTCAAATAAATTTGTTAGTCTCTAAGGTGCCACAAGTACTCCTGTTCTTTTTGCAGATACAGACTAACTCGGCTGCTACTCTGAAACCTGTCAGAGTGCATGAGAAATTCAGCAGCCTCTGATTTGATGACCACTTCAGAGGGGAGAGAGTCAGCACCAGTCCAATGCTTCCCCCAAAGCACTCACTTATCACTTCTTGTTCTTTCCTTGTTGTTTTTGCCCCCAGGAAGATCTGGAGAAGGAGAGAAGCCAGCTGCTGACTCAGGCAATTGTGGCAGAAGAGCAGGTGCTGGAGCTGCAGGAATATGTAGATAAGCATCTTGCAAGGTGAGATGGGGATCCCTTCATCGGTCCCTTGCCCCATGCACAAGGCTTACTTCCAGGGCTGGTGAATACTGTGATGAATACTGCCTTCCCACAGTGCAACCCAGCTACTGTTTGAAAGTGAATCCAGCTTGTGAGCAGCTGGCTGTATCAGTAACTCAGCATGATCAAGGGAGTTTGCATCTGTCCTTTCCAAGGACATAATATTTCCTTCCTCTGGGCTGCAGCCCACCCTGGGGATGATGAAAGCTGTGTAGGAGGCTAAGGAGGGGGTGAGTGGGGAAGACTGTCTAGAATTCAAAGCCTTTCCACTTTGCAACACTCAACATGTCGGCTGTCAACCACTGGTTCATCACAGCCACAACAAGGGAGAAAAGCTGCTAGTGCTGCCACCACCAGGAGGTGCTATTACACTTAGCTTGTACAACTGCAACTAATTGCTCTTAAAAACAGAGGACCAAAGTCATAACTGGTGTAACTCCCAGGCTTGTTGCTGATGGAATCCCTTGGCTGAGTTCCTAGGTATCAGTTCACATGAAGGGTCGGGCCAAATCTAGCATTACCCTTAGCTGTAGTTTTCCCCCTGGCTGGATAATGTTTGGGAACTTGGCTTCAGTCTCACATTGGCTTTACAATCTCAGTTGTCAGCAGGGTTCTTATGACCACAGCTGATGCAAGGTTGACATTGCTTTTCTTTGTAACCTATGTTTCTTTCAGGTACAAGCAGGAGATCCTGAGGTTAAGGAAACTTATAGGGAGCGAGGCACCCAGAGCATTCAGTGCTGGGGCTTCTGATGCTCACTTAATGCAGAGATCCAAAAGGACCATCAGCCATGAACTGTAGCTTTTGCCATGGCCCTGACAAGCAGCAGTCATTAGTTCATCATAGGAAAGACAAGGACGTAAAACTGAGTGGCTGCCTGGCTGTAATAGTCAGTGCTCTGTCACACCAAGAGATAATCCACTCCAGCGAGTGCTCTTCATACTGGGGCCCTCTTACTAGAGGACTAGGACTTGCTGAGAAGGAAATCAGCAGTATACATTTGACCCTACAGAGGTAAATAAATTTACTAAAATCAGATCAAAACTCAGTGCTTTGTTCCCCCTTTATCTTGTTTTGTGAGGTTTCCCTCCCTCCAGCAGACCATAAAGATTTCCCTTTCATTGCAGAAGTGCTCAGTAGCTGCAGAGCACCACTGCTGGTACCTCAGGGTGGTGCAGCACCAGAGTGGGTTGAACCAGCACCCAAACTTAGTCTACTGCAGAGCTGGTGGACTCAGCTTACTATGCACCTGAATTAAGAAGTTCCCTTCACCTTCTGCTAGACAGTTGCCCTTACCATTGTAACAGTTGCAAAGTGCTGTGCTTCACCGGTGCTAACTCCCACCACCTCACCCCTGTCTGAGCTGGAGAGGAGTAGAGGTAGGGTTCAGGTTAGGATTTGAGCTCAGCTGCTCTTATGGACAGGGCACTGAGGAGACTTTACAGCTCTGCACTCACGGTGAGTTGTTCCATGGAGAAGGACCTGCTGGGTGGTGACTATGTGAGGAGGACCTACAGGGAATTGATGATCAGGGAGAAAGAGAGAGCTGGAGAAGCTGCATTACTGAGCCTTCCTCCCAGGGAATTCTGAACACAGTCCAGAATGGCTCTGTCTACGGTGAGGGGCAGGCATCACCCCAGCCCTGCCCTGCCAGAAGGATGAACCGAGTCCTACAGCCCTTTTATTGTTAGAAAATGAATTGCAAATCTATTAAGAAGAGAAATGAGTTATTTTAAACAAGAATCAAAGATTCAGCTCTTGAGTCTTGTGACAGTTCTTTGGGGATTTCCAGCCCAAGTCCCCAGTTCAAAGGCTGTCCAGGATTCTGGTTCTAGGGGAGCCAGAGCATGTGGGGTAAAGTCTGACAAATCATCACCCCTCCCTGCTCATCGCAACCCCCTCCTCCCCCATGCTTGCTGGGCTATTCAGCTGAGCAGTCACACTATGGCAGCATTTGCCCTCCAGAGCAGTTCTGAGGGGCTAAAAAAAGCACACACATCTGCAGAGGCTCCAACGCTATTGTCCAGGCTGTAAACCCCAGCTGCAGCTGAGCTCTTGACTCATTCTGGGCATCCCTCAGGTTTGTTCTGCCCTGTTTGCCGTACAGTCTTGATGTCATAGGCCCAGCTTCTGTTTATACCCTCTCCAACACTGGTGGTTGGCATCCACGTGGGAAAGGGGAAGCGTCCAGCCACCACCCGGGCCTCATCCGGCAGTTCTGCAAGCAGCTTTGTCTCGAGGAGAGGTAGCTAATGGGGAGGAGGAAGGGGAAGCTGTTACTCAGTCACTAGTATCACAAGGAGGGGAAAAAGTTGTGTTATGTGTTCTAGAGACTTTTTGCAGGTTTGCTATTGGTTAGCAGAGTTGTCATTTTGATTATTAATATTGATATTGAAGTAGCATCCAGTGGCCCCAGTCAGGATCCGGACCCCATTATGGTGAGCATGGTACAAACGCATTTATAGATGAAGCCCCTGCCCTGGAGAACTTACAATCCAGGACACATTCATTGACCTTGGCTTTATGTTCAGAAATTAATTTGATCTCAACAGTAAACAGTAATGGCCCAGAAGGGGGCTGGCTCCATGGAGATGAGAAGTAAACACCCAAACCAAGCTAAGGACACTAATGCCAGCAAGATCTACAGTACAGACCCATTTACGTGCGGCTGCGGGGAGTCAAGCCATCACAACTGCGTGTTAACGGACCGCGGGTTAAGAGGGCCATGCCGAAATATCTTAAGATATCTATATATACATATGTATAATTATCTAGGATTACATACGTATTCACAGTGTCCCAAATACCATCTGTTAACGGTGCTTTGCAAGAATATAAATTCAAATGTGTAATCTAATAAAAATATTATTACTACTACACAGGGGTGAAAGAAACTCAGGACACTTACCGGTACAGGGCGGGGGCGGCTCTGGCCTCCGGAAGGGGCAGGGCTGTGGGTGGAAGGGGCAGGGCTAGGGGTCAGCATCCCCCAGCCAGCCCTTCCAGGCCACCTGGTCCGTGCTGCCCGGGGTTCCCGTGGTGATTTAAAGGGCGGCGTCCGGAGCCCCAGGCCCTTTTAAATTGCCGGCCCCAGGGCAGCTGCTCCCTTTGCCCCCCTGCCCATTGGCAGCCGAGGGAGGGCAAAAGGGGCAGGGACCTTAAAGCGCTGCAGGGTCCTTTGCTGCGGCAGCGCTTTAACGTTGCTGCGCCCACCCACCCCCGTCGGCGGCCCAGCGCTGCCGCGGCAAAGGACTGTCCTTAAAGCACTGCAGCACTTTAATGTCCCTGCCCTTTTTGCCCCCCCCGGGGGGGGGGGGGGGGGGGGGAGACGGGGCAGCAACATTAAAGCGTTTAAGGACGGTCCTTTGCCGCGGCAGTGCTTTAACGTTGCTGCCCCTGCCTGCCTCCTCCCCCCCCCCCCCCCCCCCGTCGGCGGTAAAGACATACAACACGTTTCCGCTCCGCACTTCCTGTTGATTTCTGTCAGTGAGTTAGTGGGCAAATCTGTAGCGCTACATAGCAAGTTCCTGTACTGCGTGTTAACAAGTCTCGCGTGTTAAATAGGTAGCACTGGGAGGCATGGCGCTACCGTGCGTTAAGCGGATTCACGAGTAAACGGGTCTGTACGGTAGTCTTTGGTGCTAATATCCACAGAGCAATAAATAATACCTTCATAGAAACTTATCTCAGCACTACCTGGGATGGAGTTCAGTAGGCCCCTGTTGCAAGACACAGTGGGCCCCTGTTGGACGACTTCTAAGTATTGGCAGTCTATCACAATAAGAAGGGCTTATGCTAACCCTCTTTTTATCTCTGAACCAAGGCCAGATCTGCAGATGCACTGAGCACTTGCTACACCCATTGAAACAAGCAGGAGGCGCAGGTGTTCAGCACAAAATGCAAACTCGGCTGTATCCGTCCCTACAGCTACACAGTGCTGACTGCATTCACCTACCTCCGTAGTCACTGGGCGTGCCGGTGCTCAGCATCTCACAATGCTGGCTGGGGATATAGTAAGAGTGTACACCCAGCACACATAGGCAGTTTCTCAGCAGATCCAACATTTGGACTATCCCCACTCAAGGAAAACCCCCACTGACTATGATGGGGCCATTAGGAGGTGTCCACAGCAGCCTTGTTAAGGCAGATGCACTAGGATTTCGTTGGTTATGTGAAACATATATAGTTCTAGTGCCATTTTCTTAAGGGTTTTTTGCCAACATTCATGATGATCCCTTTACTTGAGTATCCTCCCTTCTCATTGATTTGCCCAACAAAGTAGGAAATTGGCAACCAGCCCTTCACCCTTAACCAACTGTACCAGCCTCTGGAGAGTGCTTGGACTTACCACACTGGGAGCTAGGAACACAGAGATGTTGTTGCAGTCAGACAGGTTTACCTTTAAGAAGATAAAGTCAGTCATGGAGAGAGAAATAACAGGCTGAAGGTTCAGTGCAATGTGTGCTGGGGAAAGAGGATCTCAGTGGACTCTTAAATCTGTGTATAAGGGTCAAACATCACTTGTTGACATACAGAAAGTTATTCTAAAGCCCAAAGAGGTCAATAATACTGAGCAAGTGAGATTTTTGGGAGGGGGAGTTGTGCTGTTATGAGGAGGTGCTGTAAAAACACTGTTACTGGACTAGATGCAGGTGTGTCTCTGATAACGGATTAAATAAAATCTTAGGGTCCCAAAATGTAGAGATGGGACTGACTTATTAGTTCATAGAGTCCAGTAGTTCTCAACCTATTTACCATTGTGAGCGGCGTATGTGGCTCTCCGTGTGTTATGTGAGCTGCATCCACACAATATATATACTACTGATTGGGCCGCAAGCGGCCAGTGGGTTGAGAATCACTGATCTAGTTCATCCCTGCCAGTGTTTTCTCCAGCCTAGTTTTAGATGTGTGGAGAGGTTCAGCTTTTGCTAATAGATCTTTAGGAGGCTTGATGCATGTCTAGAGTCCCAGGTATAGACGGGCAATATGAGAGAAACATCTTCAAGCATGCCCTCCTGCTGCACTGAGAAAGGACATTTATGCAAGATAGGGGGCTCTTTCATTGTCCCTCTTGTAGAGCTTCCCAAGGCTCCAGACCTCAGTGTTTTCAACATCATTTTCAGCTGTGTGTGTTAAAGGCCAGGAGAAGGAAAACAGATGGATGATCCCAGCTAAACACACCTGAGGAAGCTACAGAGGTGAGTTAACAGTAATTCAATATTATTGGACAGAGAGGGCCAATGTGGCTTTCTTCTCCCTTTTGCCACCGTGCTGCTGATGTAGGAACTGAGGAAAGTTTCTAGCACACAAAGAGTTGGATGATCAAATTATATCTGATCCATAAGGAACAGTTCCAGTGGGGGAAAGGGGGGAAAAAAACAGTGCTTCTAATAAGTAGGTTTGGAGGAGAATGCTGACCTTTTGCCCAGTGTGGCTAAAGCCCTGATATCTGTGTTTAGCAGAGGTAGGTCCTTTGATCTTAGAGATAATGTAGTCAGTCAGGCTGAGAAATCCAGAGTCCTGACTCCATCACAAGAAGTTACCTTCCATAGATCTTGCCGTTGGTAGAAAACCTTCCCGTAACACCCAGCCCTCCAGGCACGATAGTTGGAGAGTCTCAACAGCCAGGGGTTGAGTTCATAGCCAACAGCTGGTCTGAAGCCTTGTTTATATGCTTCTAATACCTGGAGAGAGGAATTGAAACCAAAATAAACCTCCATGTTTGTTCCTGAAATAATCTCTGGAGCAGTGGCTGTAGATCAGACAGCTTCCAGCTACTCCATTCCCAGCAGCAGTCACTGTGGGGAATGGATTAGAGTACTGTCTTTACCTGCACTGCATTCTCTAAGCAGCTCTTGTAGGGAAAGGGGTAGGAAGGTAAGGAGTAGATGATTAATGACCAGATGCCAGCGTAGAAGGTAGCTGGCAAGGCTCAACATGTAACATGGTACGTCCTTCGAGATAAATCAGGAAGGCAGTGGAATAGAGAGAAACTGAGGGTGTGATTCTGTGAAGGGCTGAGTTTTCGACTCCTCTCAGTTCAGCATGCTCAGGACCTCCCAAGAGGAAGTCAGCACCTTGCAAGCTCAGACTAAGAATGAGGAAAGGAGGAAGGGACAAGACAGGGTTTGAGAATGATTGTAAGTACCAGTCTTATCAGAACTTTTTTCTGATAAGCTAAGGCGATTCCCTTCTACTGGTTGTGAGGGTACTATAGTTGCTCCAATCCCTTCCTTCCCCAGCAGAAGTCATTCTAAGAAGATGTTCAGGAGTAACAGCTATGTGGGGGCTCTCAACTGCTCCATCCCAAATTCGTTAAAGAGTTCAAGTCTAGGAAAGGGACATAGGTAATGCTCCTTATGGAGCAACTCCCAGCTACTCCAGTCCCAGGAGTCTTTGCAGGGAATGGCTAAGAGCAATTGCCTTGAAAGAGCTTTCAGTCTAAGGAGTTACACTGGTGTAAGCCCACTGGTGTAAGCCCACCACAACCCCAACTAAGTTTCTCTAGCTATGCACTGACATAACAGGGAGCAGGATGTGGATGCTCTTGGAGTGGGAGATCTATCTTTAACACTATTAACTTTTCAAAATGCAAACCAGCAGCTCTGAATATCAGACACAAGGACTTTTTTCTCGCTTACAATTCTGCCATCTCCTGACCCTAAATCCACCATCTTCCCAGAGCGTCCTTTCAGCAACGACATCACATTCTCAACTTGCTTGGCACTTGATGGTACATATGGCACCTAGTTTAGAGAAATGAGAAATATAAGCCCCAGTCAAACACAAATTACCTTTCTGGTGTTCCAGTTGTGTCAGAGTATTGCAGGATGCAGTAAAGCATCCTACAAAGCATGGTGTTTTGGGACATGTAGTTCCACACTTGTGCAGGCTGCACATTCATTACAAACAAGGCCCAATCCTGCAAATGGATTTGTACAGGCAAACGCTTGTTATAGCCCAGAGCTCAACTCACTTCACTAGATTTCCACATGGGCACAAGGGTTTGCCTGTATGGATCTGACTGCAAGATCAGGGCCATAAAGTGAAGTCAAGGATAGGCACTTTGGTCACCTACACATAGGGTGACCAGACAGCAAGTGTGAAAAATCGGGACGAGGATGGGGGGTAATAGGAGCCTATATAAGAAAAAGACCCAAAAATCGGGACTGTCCCTATAAAATCGGGACATCTGGTCACCCTACCTACACACTAGGTCTATCTGAATAGGAGGAAACAGCACTAAACAGTCAGAAGACTCCCAGCCGAAGAAAGCAAACGGGACTGAGACCTAGAGGAGCTAGCCTCAGCCACTATGCTAAGCACAACTGGAAATTGAGCCAGATCCACAACTGGTGGAAGTGACTTAAATGAAGCTGCACCCACTTACCCAAGCGGAAGGTTGGATCCTAACTAGGTCTCACCAAAACACAGCTGGAGTACTAAAAATGAAACCTATCATAGAGATCTTTTCACTTGCAAACAAAACAGTTTTACAAATATTAATCATGTCAGCTATGTTTCAGGTGCAGAGTTTGTAAAGTGGTTTGGGAGCCTTTGGAATTAAACATCTTAAAACAAGAGATATTGGCAAGGTTGCTAAGAACAAAAAATGTGACAAAATAATTCTCATGTGGTTTTATTTCCCATAGCAAATGCCTCAAATATCCTTGTACCAGCAGGCCAGAGTTCACAAGTGACCCTATAACCAGTGGGTACGTGACAGAACAGAAACGCCATAGTAAAGAAATGTTTCATGCATCTTCCAGGGTGCCTTTATAAACCACATTGGGGGAATAAAATCATGTTATATAAAAAGCTTGGTAATATTCATTCCCCCCCCAAATATATACTTAATGCAGCCTCTTCTCTTAAATCAGAACAAATCCCCATTAAAAAGCACTGGCAAATGATCTACCTGTAACTTTAAAGGCACTCTGCGGAAGCCAGGCATGAGAACTCCTGCCCACATAACATAGGCAGCAAAACCTGTGCCTGCTGCAAGCTGCACGAGGCCCCAGCCACCAATAGTCTTCCCTTGAAACTCCATTGCCAGCTCTTCTATGTCATCAGGATCCATAGCTGTAAAAACACCAGGATCGGAAGGAGATTTATTCATTAACCAGCTAATCATACCTGGCACGTATTCAGCATGCTGTATTTGTATTTACAGCACTGCACACACAGGGTGGCAAAACCCCACTATTACACCCTCCCTCAGGCACCTGTATTCATGTACGCCCTTTCCCCATGGGCCCTCCCACGGCCCGTTTCCCCCACCTGGCGGGCAGGGGAGAGGTTAGGCTCGAGGGCGCGGCCCCTTTAAATCAGGCGTCCCTACACAAAACTCATCAGGAACTACCCGTATGCGTCCCATAATGCACTACGCATACTACCGTACCGAGACATGCATACTGTCTTGGCGCGCGCGCCTCTCCGGTGATGAACAGGAGGTGGTGCTCCGCTCGTGAACACAGGTATACTGAAAAGGTGGTCCGTGCGGAAAACACGTCCCTAGCAACATTAGTTCCGCTGCTGGGACCTAGAAAGCCGTTAACCCTCCCCCTCTTCCCAAACACTACACCCAGTTCCCCCACCTCGAGAGCCACCAAAGGAGGTGCCACAGACTTAGAGTTTCGGAACATAACTCTCGGCAGTACCGGGGTTGAATGGGAGGTACTGGGGTTGGATGGGGCGGGTACTGGGGAAGGTCATGACGGGGGGGGGACCGTGGTTGGACGGGGGGTACTGGGGAAAGTTATGATGGCGGGTACCGGGGTTGGATGGAGGGGGGTGTACTGGGGAAGGTTATGACAGGGGAACCAGGGTTGGATGGGGGGGCTGTACTGGGGAACGTTACGACGGGGGTTACCGGGGTTGGATGTGAGGGGGGTGTACTCGGGAAGGTTATGACCGGGGGTACCGGGGTTGGATGGGGGGGTGCTAGGGAAGGTTATGACTGGTTGCACTGTATTGGATGGGGGATACTAGGGAAGGTTATGAGGGTGCATACCGGGGTTGGATGAGGGACAATGGGGAAGTTTATGATGGGGGGGTACCGTGGTTGGATGGGGGACACTGGGTAAAGTTATAACGGTTGTTATCAAGGTATGATGGGGGGTACCGGGGTTAGATATGGGGGTACTGTAGAAGGTTATGATGGGGGTACCGCAGTTGGATGGGGTGGTAGCGGGGAAGGTTATGACGGTGAGCACCAGGTTAGGAACGGGAGTACTGGGGAAGGTTATAATGGTTGGTAGTGGGGTTAGATTCGGGGGTGTACTGGGGAAGGTAATAATGGGGAGTACCGGGGTTGGATCGGGGGCTACCAGGGAAGCTTTTGACGGTTGGTACCGGGGTTGGATGGGGGGTTCTGGAGAAGGATATCACGGGGGGTACTGCGGTAGGACGCGGTGCACTGGGAAGATTATGACGGGTGGGTACTGGAGAAGGTTATGACGGGGGGTACCGGGGTTGGATGGGGAGAATACTGGGGTTAGAATGGGGGTTCTGGGGAAGGTTATGATGGGGGGTACCAGGGTTGGATGGGGGTGGTGTACTGGGGAAGGTTATGACGGAGGGTCCGGGCTTGGATGCGGGGTGCTGGGGGAGGTTATGACGGGGTGTACTGGGATTGGATGGGGAGAGTACTGAGGAAACTTATGAATGGGGTACCGGGGTTTGATGGGGGGGTACTGGGGAAGGCCATGATGTGGGGTACCACGGTTGGATGGGGTTGGAACTGGGGAGGTTATGATGGGGGGGTACTGGGGTAGGATGGGGTGTACTGAGGAAGGTTATGACAGGGGGTATTGGAGAAGGTTATGATGAGGAGTACCGGGGTTGGATTGGGGGGTGTACTGGGGAAGATTATGAGAGGGGGACCAGGTTGGATGAGGGTTGGCTTTACTGGGGAAGCTTATGACGGGGGAGCGGGGGTACCGGGGTTGGATGTGGCTGTACTCCGGAAGGTTATGACGCGGGGTCCCGGGTTTGGATGGGGAGAGTACTGGTGTTGGAATGGGGTTTCTGGGGAAGGTTATGATGGAGGGTACCGGGGTTAGATGGGGTGGGTACTGGGGAAGCTTATGATGGGGTGTACCGGAGTTGGATGTGGCTGTACTCCAGAAGGTTATGACGGGGGGTACCGGGGTAGGATGGGGTGGGTACTGGGGAAGGCTATGACGGGGTGTGCTGGAGTTGGATGTCAAGTATCAGAGGGGTAGCCGTGTTAGTCTGAATCTGTAAAAAGCAACAGAGGGTCCTGTGGCACCTTTAAGACTAACAGAAGTATTGGGAGCATAAGCTTTCGTGGGTAAGAACCTCACTTCTTCAGATGCAAGATGGATGGGATGGGTACTGGGGGATGGTTATGACGGGGTGTACCGGGGTTGGATGTGGCGGTACTTGCGGGGGTACCAGGGTTGGAGGGGGTGAGTACTGGGAAAGGTTATGAATGGGGTACTGGGGTTGGATGGGGGGGGTACTGAGGAAGGTTATGATGTCGGGTACCAGGGTTGGATGGGGGGGTGTACTGGGGAAGGTTATGGCGGTTGGTACTGACTTTTAATGGGGGGTACTGAGGAAGGTTATGACGCGGGGTACTGGGGTTGGATGGGGAGTGTTATGATGGGGATTCCGGGATTGGATGTGGGATACTGGGGAAGGTTATGATGGGGTGTGCTGGGGTTGGATGTGGCTGTTCTCCACAAGGTTATGATGCGGGGTACCGGGGTTCGATGGGGAGAGTACTGGGGAAGGTTATGAATGAGGTACAGGCATTGGATCGGGGGTACTGGAGAAGGTTATGACGGGGGTTACCGGGGTTGGATTGGGGCTGTTCTGGGGAAGATTATGATGGTTTGTACTGGGGTTGGATGGTGGCTGTATTCCGGAAGGTTATGATGCGAGTTACCGGGGTTCGATGGGGAGAGTACTGGGGAAGGTTATGAATGGGGTGTTGGGGTTGAATGGGGGGGGGTACTGGGAAAGGTTATTACTGGGGGTGCTGGGGTTGGATTCGTGGTAGTGGGGAAGGTTATGATGGGAGGTATTGGGGTTGGATGGGGAGAATCCTGGGGAAGGTTATGAGGGGAGTACCGGGGTTGAATGGGGGCATACTGGGGAAGGTTATAACGGGAGGTACCAGGGTTGGATGGGGGTCGTTGGAAAGGTTATGACGGGGCGTACCGAGGTTGGAGCGGTGGTACTAGGGAAGATTATGACGCGGACCTACCGGGGTAGGATGGGGTGTACTGTGGAAGGTTATGATGGGGGGTACTGGAGAAGGTTATAATGGGGGGTACCAGGATTGGATTGGGGGGTGTAGTGGGGATGGTTATGATGGGGGGTACCGGGGTTGAATGGGGGGTAGTGGGGAAGGTTATGAATTGGGTACCGGGATTGGATGGGGGATACTGGGGAAGGCCAACTTGGGTTGGATGGGGTGGGAACTGGGGATGGTTATGACGGGGGGTTCTGGAGAAGGTTATGACAGGGGGACCAGGCTTGGATGGCGGGGGCCTGTTCTGGGGAAGGTTATGACTGGGAGTACCAGGTTTGGATGGGAAGAGTACTGGGGAGATTATGAATGGGGTACCCGGGTTGGATGGGAGGGTACTGAGGAAGGTTCTGACGGGGCGTACTAGGGTTGGATGGGGAGAAAACTGGGGGAATGTTATGATGGGGATGGGGAGTACTGGGGAAGGTTATGACGGGGTGTACTGGGGTTGAATTGGGGGTACTGGGGAATCTTATGAAGGGGGTTTCCGGGGTTCAATGGGGCAGTACTAGGGAAGGTTATGAGGGGAGGTACGGGGTTGGATGGGGGATACTGGGGAAGGCTATGACGGGGCGGTACCGGGGTATGACGGGGTGTACTGTGAAAGGTTATGACTTGGGGTACTGGAGAAGGTTATGATGGGGGGTACCGGGGTTGGATGGAGGGTGTTCTGGGGAAGGTTATGACAGGGGTACTGGGGTTAGATGGGGAGAGTCCTGCGGAAGGTTATGAGGGGAGTACCGGGGTTGGATGGGGGCATACTGGGGAAGGTTATAACGGGGGGTACCAGGGTTGGATGGGGGTTGTTGGAAAGGTTATGACGGGACGTACCGAGGTTGGAGGGGGGTAATGGGGAAGGTTATGACGAGGGATATTGGAGAAGGTTATAACGGGGAGTACCGGGGTTGGTTTGGGGGTTGTTCTGGGGAAGGTTATGACTGGGGGTACCGGGTTTGGACGGGGCGAGTACTGGGGAAGGTTATGACGGGGCGTACCGAGGTTGGAGACGGGGTACTGGAGAAGGTTATAACGGGGGGGTACCGGGGTTGGATTGGGGGGTGTACTGGGGATCGCTATGATTGGGGGTACCGGGTTGGATGCGGGGTACTGGGGAATTTTATGAAGGGGGGTACTGGGATTGGATGGGGAGGTACTAGGGAAGGCTATGACAGGGTGGTACCGGGGTAGGACGGGGGTGTACTGTGGAAGGTTATGATAGGGGATACTGGAGAAGGTTTTTGGGGGTATCGGGGTTTGATGGGGAAACTACTGGGGTTGGAATGGGGGTTCTGGGGAAGGTTATGATGGGGTGTACTGGGGTTAGATGGGGTGGGTACTGGTGAACATTATGACGGGGTGTACTGGGGTTGGATCGGGGGTACTGGAGAAGGTTAAGATGGGGGGTACCAGGGTTGGATTGGGGGTGTTCTGGGGAAGGTTATGATGGTTTGTACTGGTGTTGGATGTGGCTGTACTCTAGAAGGTTATGATGCAGGGTACCAGGGTTCAATGGGGAGAGTCCTGGGGAAGGTTATGAGGGGAGTACCGGGGTTGGATGGGGGCGTACTGGGGAAGGTTATAACGGGGGGTGCCAGGGTTGGATTGGGAGGTGTAGTGGGGATGGTTATGATGGGGGGTACCGGGGTTGGATGGGGATACTGGGGAAGGTTATGATGGGAGTTATGGGGTTGGATCGGGTGTACTGGGGAAAACTATGACAGGGTGGTACCGGGGTAGGACGGGATTTACTGTGGAAGGTTATGACAGGGTAATGGAGAAGGTTATGACAGGAGTTACCAGGGTTGGATGGGTGGTGTTCTGGGTAAGGTTATGACTGGGGGTACCGGGTTTGGATGTGGAGCATCCTGGAGAAGGTTATGAATGGGCTACTGGGGTTTGACGGGATGTACTTTCACTCCCTGTCATAAC